CGAGCGGCTGCCAGTGGGGCTTGATAGTAAGCTTAAAGGCAGTAAGAATCTTCTTTAAAAAATGTAGGAATTTCGTAAGCTCGCATATTCATATCAAACAAGCAGACTTACTTTGAAAAGTCCATTTGACAAATAAATCGTTTTCGGTAACTCATAATTAGGCCCACACAGTTACGTAGAGTATGAAAATATAAGCATTCGACAGGGCTTTCAGATGTCGCATGGCGTACTAGCGCACATCTCCTCCACACCATCTCCACATGCTGTGGGCGCTGGGGCTGGGCAGATTGGGGAGGGGGAAGAGCAATAAAGGATGTTCGCAATGTTGGATAATGTAATATGCAATCACTGCACCTAGAATCGCCGTTGGCCATGGAAGATAGATTGCCCGTACCAATGCCTCCTGACAATGCAGCGTCAGGGGTATGCTAGAGCTACTGCCTCGGCTGTTCCTATCGTCTATTGCCTATAGGGAAGTTTGCTGTTGTCCGGTTAAAAAAAGAAATGAAAAGCTCATAAACCCTGTCCATGCAATCAACTGAGCAAATAAAACTGCACGACCCAAACAAATTCAGGCTAATAATCGTCGCAGAATCATTGTTCTATGCAGTCAACTGCATGCTGTTTGATTTGGTTTCAAAAATAATTTTACAAGAACTCGATGTAATTTTTTTTCTTTTCGTGTTGCTTGGAATGAGGGTGACTATTACAAGGGGGATTTATGTTAAGTTCACGCACAGGAATGTCATAGAAATTTAAAAAAACTTCCAAGTCGAAAGCCGTGTCAGGGATTTAGAAGTTGAAATACAACCAGCAGCTGGAATCCTAAGCAGGCGCATCAAGGGAATTTTTCTTTTATAAAATTACTGTATTGTTTCTGGCGATCTCGTGGCCAGCTGATTTTCCCGGCACCTTCGAAATATCAGTAAAAGTTGTGCAGTTTTCGGTTACTATATGCACCTACCTAAGTAGGATGTTTTTTTATTAAATAGATGGTTCGAATCATATTTTCAGACCCACTTAAATGTTCTTCGTAAAATGCTCAAAATTATGAGTGCTTCGAAATTAATTGCTCGATTTGAGTCTTCACCATCCACCATATACCGCACAACAGAGACGGTGGATCAATTGAAAGTTTTTGTTTAAATACTTTTAGTTTGGTTAATTTAGTTTTGTTAAAAATACAGTAAAATAAAATAAGGAACCGGTACCATTTATGCATACTACGTATATAATTTCTGTGAAATTTACTAAGATAACCTTCCTATGGATGACAAGGAAACGGTCGGTCATTAAGTTTAAACTATCATTCGACAGTTTGCTTCACTTAAATAAAACAGCAATGAACAAATAAGTGAGGAGATAACATTTTTATACCGTACTATGAACCAACTAGAGTAAGGAATACTCGTGAGCCGTTACTGTGATCTAGTTTTACGTCAACCTTGCTTCCTTTTTAAGTGTAATGCATTAAGCTAACCTTTTAGTGCTAATTCATTCGTTTAGGCACACGATTTGGGTATAAACTCTAGAAATAAACATTTATAGTTCAACATACCAAAGATTCACGAGTTTGCTTGATTCATGCTGGGTTCTCGGACCTAGTCTAGCGACTGTTTAAGGCACTACGGCACTTTTATTTGTCTGCCTACAGCATTAATATGCACTTGCTATAAACGGTACAAACGCTGATAAATGCTTCTTTTCCCCTCCACCATATCTCCCCCTCCCCCTCAAAAAGTCGGAGGATGAGTCCTGCGACAATGAGACGACACAGGACGAACCCACACCCGAGGCATAATGTCACCTTAGTGCACCACTTAATGTTTGCACATTAATGTCTTGACGTAGTCCGCTCTGAGCGGATGCTAATGCGCACTTGAGATACAACATTCGCACTCCACACATTACCTGCTACCGGCACCCGCAGTACTCGCCTAGATGTGCCTGTTTGTATTAATCATTTCTTCATTAATTATATTTTATCAGAATGAGACCGCAGATGGATCCAA